TTTAGGGATATTAAGATTGATATGATTGATCATTTGCTTGGTGTCAGTATATCTTATAAGTCTAATAAAAGAAATTTCACTAAATTTGTTCTTTAGATAATAATATTCCTTGTTATTTTGTAAAGCCGACGGTGCTAGCTCAAACAAGCACCGATCTCCAAGAAAGTTTACAGGGGTGTTTCCTAGATAAATACACAACACTAAAACTTTGAACAGCATTGTAGGACCATTTTTTTATTTTTGGAGGGCAACGGTCACACCCTAACCGAGGGGGCGAGGAAGAGTGTCCAAACAACTTTCGCCTGCCCGGGAATCGAACCCGTGACATCTTGCTTGCAAGGCAAGAGCGGTATCGCTTCTACCACAAGCGCCCCAATCTCCAGTCTCTATTTCAATTAATCCCATATATTCTGTTATTTCGTTTACGCGTTTCTTGGTTTACGCGGACCTCCACGGGTTCAATTGACCGCGTAAATCGAGACTATACTGTAGTTTATAACTTTCGGGGGGCACTGTGTCTGAAAGTAAAATAATACCTTTTTCTTGGTGTTTTACTTAAATCTTACCTCCTTTCTTGTGCAAATTAACGGTTTGAGTCAATTTATAGTATCACACCGGTCTTTATTTCAATATTGAAAATAGGTTTTTCCACTGTATTTTGATGAGTTTTGAACGAATTTGATATTTATTTCCACCGGAAATCATGTGTTTATCAGATATCCCCTCCCCTACCAAACAATCATAATGGAAAAAGTTGGATTTTTTTTAGAATAAATAACATTAATTATATTACCAACCAACCGAGAAAGCCTAACCTAACCTAAGCTAACCTAACCCCCCGTCAGAGGACTGGAGCGACGTGTGATCAGGGGGTCAGACCACCTCCGCCATAAGTAAAAAAATCATGGCGACCTAGCCAAAGTAATAATCTTTAAAAATTAATATCTCGGTCATCCTTAATTTCCGGCGGAAATATCACAGAAGAAAAATGTCTTAGAATTGCGTAAACATTACGAGATACATATTTTTAACAGGGAAATAAAGACCGGTGTGATACTATAAATTCACCTTCATTAGTGGCCAAAAACGCTTGTTATGAACACGAAGGTAAGCACTGGGAGGCTTGATTCAACATCAGTATCCATAGATCTGTAATAAACAGGAATTACATATTAACAATGACTAAGCTTCAAGTAACAGAATGGCTTAACACAAATAAACATAACATAAGAAACATAAGAGAACTTCAAACAATATAATCTAGAGCACATAACCAACTAGCGTAAAACATCAACGCTAATTTGAGTAAAACGCAAAATAAACCTTTTTTTGTACCAGAACCTGAGGACGACTACAGTGGTCCCTCGGTTAATGAAATTTCGGTTAACGAATTGCCTTCCATAAGAATCTTTGATTCGGTTAACAAACAAAAATTTGATTAACGAAATCCTTACGAACGTCACGTTTTGTTGTGAGCATCAGCTGATGGGCTAGTCTGCCAATTCAGTACAGTAATCTGTTCTATGTTTACATTTGTTTCTAGTGGAGTAAATATCAAGAAAATTGTGTTCTTTAATATTTATGCATTTTTTATATTAAAATTATTGGTCATTCTAAAATTTAGCCATCCAAGCTCCGTCTATAAAGTTTTTCAACTATTATTTTTGGCTCGATATATGTAACTTTATTCATTTATTGAAATTCATTTACATGCACACACTGTCCTCAGGACAAAGCTGTACTGTACATGTAATCAAAATAAAGTACAAAATGATTACTAAAATTTTAGTCTAGTGCAAACTATTGCATGTTTACATTCAAATTAATCACTATCTTATAAGAATTCCAGCAATGTAAATTATATTCTCCCCGGTCACTTCTGTGATATTTTATAAGCAAAAAACAAAAACTCAATCTAAAGGACATAAATACTGTAAACAAATAAATACTTGACTAGACCTTTGGCGCTAACTGTCAAACATGTCACTGTCACCCCTCCCAGTGACAGGTGTCACTGTCAAGGTTAGGTCATATTATGGTGAACTTAGGGCCTGATAAGGTGTCACTGTCAAGGTTAGGTCATATTATGGTGAACTTAGGGCCTGATAAGGTGTCACTGTAAAGGTTAGGTCATATTATGGTGAACTTAGGGCCTGATAAGGTGTCACTGTCAAGGTTAGGTCATATTATGGTGAACTTAGGGCCTGATAAGGTGTCACTGTCAAGGTTAGGTATATTGTGGTGAACTTAGGGCCTGATAAGGTGTCACTGTCAAGGTTAGGTCATATTGTGGTGAACTTAGGGCCTGATAAGGTGTCACTGTCAAGGTTAGGTCATATTATGGTGAACTTAGGGCCTGATAAGGTGTCACTGTCAAGGTTAGGTCATATTATGGTGAACTTAGGGCCTGATAAGGTGTCACTGTCAAGGTTAGGTCATATTTTGGTGAACTTAGGGCCTGATAAGGTGTCACTGTCAATGTTAGGTCATATTATGGTGAACTTAGGGCCTGATAAGGTTAGTTAGGGTTGATTGATTTCACTGACACTAATACATTAATATATACTGTACAAGAAGATCTTGTATTTCACGAGTAATATAGACTGGAAAATTGTGCCAAAGGCAAATACATAAACTAATGGTAAAAATAACAAAATAGACTGGCCACTCTACATCAACCTCTGATTTTCCCATTTATAACCTCAAATGATACAAATTCTTTCTTTATTGACCTGATTATGCTTATCCTGCATCCAGTACTTGGCAAACTTAACTCCCTTATGATAGTCCCGCTTCTCCTTTTCCTTATTTGGCCTCTTAGGTGAGTCTGTCCCACCCCCACCAGCACCAGTAGGACCCTCAGTAGAGGTAAAGGCCATTATCTTGACTCAACAGGTGGAGCACCACCCAATAACAGCCCGGGCGGTCGCTAGGATGGTGCGGGCTACAACGCCATAGTTGCATTCTTGTAAACCTGTTTTACGTTCACCACCGGCAATTCGATCACCAGAACGCTTCTTGGAAACATTCTTCTTACCTTGTCTTTCCATACAGTATTCATCGCTAACACAACAAAATTGGAGAAAACAGCGAAAATCACTGAGCAATCGACAAAAACCGCGCGATTCAACTGATCACGTAATGTAAACAGAGAGCGCTGGTGTAAACCGTTATTAGTCCTCACTGCGAAATATTCTTTTTACTTATTATTTTCATCCAGTATTTATGGGTAACAGCTAAATTTGCAAAAAAAAACGAAATTTACTGAGTATATCTCTCAAAAAACACATCACAAACAAAACACACGAATCAATTGAACATGTGATGTCGAGCGTGAACTGTAAGCATTTCATAACCCCGCGCCACGCTTAAAATGTTGAGGATGGAATCGTGTTATAGCCAACATTCGTATGCAAAAGTTCGTGTTTTACTAACATCGTTCCCCTACTCGTCAGTCGCGTTACAACCGATTCGCGTTGACAAAACACTCGTTGTAACAGAAATGACTGTAACTGGTATGAGGGCTGTGACTGACATCATTCAAGACGGTGGCCAGCATTCAGCTGGCCGGATCTCTCGAAATTCACGATATTTTACACCAAATAGAACACTTGGTTACAATAGGTAGTGCTCGCGAAATTCAAAAACGCGAAATGAAATCGCGTGAAAAATGAGATCTTACTGTACATCAGGTAGTGGAAAGTACTCTTGTGGAAGAATAATTAAAATCATGATAATTATCTGTGGTGTCGCTCTTCTTAACATTGACCAATTAAATGTATTGTAGTGTTAATGTTATGACGTCTCGCACTCAGGATGGGTGGAGAAGGGAAACTCTTAATGGTGGTTTTCTTATATACATATATTATATACAAAACAGTCTGGTGCTGGGAAGTTGCTGTGTGGTAGAGGAGTTGCTGTGCCGGAGCTTCTTTTGAGGAGGTGTTGGGTGTTGCAGGGCTCTAGGTAGAGTGGACTTCACGGCGAGGCTGGGAGCTTATATACACATCCACCGGGAGTGAGCGTCGACCCCCCTAGACGGCTAGGTTTGTCAGAGAGACTTCGTCGCGGGATCGGCTGATCAGCGACTAACGTCAGTGGCAGTTGTAGGGGAGAGTATCCACTACAGTATCCTATTGTTAGGAACCGTCGTTATTTGGCAACATAAGTAACACAACTTAATGTTTTCTATACAGTATTATTGTTAATATTCTTTTATTATTTCACAACTTGATCTGTGTATTATTTTATTGGGTGATAAAGTATGTTGTTTTATCTAGGATGATATTAATGATTGTAAAGGAACTTGTTGGGAATATCAGTGTTCTTTTGTTTTGAGGTTGACGCCCGGGCACGTGGAACAGGCTCTCTCCACTCTTGGCTCTCATGTGGAGTTGTTGCTCTGGGTTTTTTCCTTCCACTTTCTTCTCGTCTCTACCTGAGGTGCACCGGGGGGGGGGGGGTGATCCTATGTATGTGGAGGTTGTGGCTGTATGTGGTAAGACTGTTGTTTGCCAGGTTAATACTACAGGATTTTGTCCTAAGTGTTCTCAGGTAGGAGTGTTTGTATACACAGTGTTCTTGCTTTGGGCATTCTTGTTCATAACACAGTACTGTACATGTAAATTTGTAAGATAAGGAATAATCATGTTTATATTTTGTTAAGCTTTGTTTCAATAACACTTGACCATCTTTCACTAATTATTTTGAGTGACTTATGTCTACAAATATATATATGGTCATTTAGTGCACAGTATCCTTGGGAGCTATCTGCATTTATGTTAGGTCACTGTCCACGTGCTGGAATTTTGGTCGTCTTGTTGGGTGAAAATTATAAATATTAGGTGATATTCCAGTGTTTTGAAGGCCTTAAGAATATACCCAAGAGGAAGTGATGGTAACACAGTCTCTGTGTATTAATAAAACATGAATATTGAGGTTAATTAAGACTTGCTCACTCTTCATGTTGTTTATCACATTTAATTGTTTTTATGTTACAGGAGGACCTGGCTCCTGCTGGGGGTGTAGAGACTCACTTAAAACTCAACTTATTTAATTGTGGATCAAGATTTAATTTATCTCATGATTGAGGACGAGACTTTGGTAAGTTTTATGTATAATTTGCTTTATGTTACTAAATCTCAAGAGGTTATTTACTCCTGTGAATATTGATGTGGTAGATTTTTCTTGCTTATGTCAGAGATGTTTTTATATTGAGTTAACTAATTTCCTCTCGACAGGATGTACCGTACTTTATCATCCTAATGGCCCGTGTCCACTTGAGAGTATAGTGCTGTTGATGGCGCTACTATTAAGTGGACGTGGCTCTGGGAGTAACTGTCTGTTAGTTTACTGTCGGACAGCTACTCTATGCTAGTGTGGACGCGTGGTAGCCCGCAACTGTCACGTCAACTCTCGGCTGTACCGACCGGGTTCGCAGTCCGACGGTGCTCTCGAGAGGTGAAGCGTGGCGCTCTGGTCTCGGGAGAAGACTTTTCGGTTGATATCTTTGTATGAAGAGAATCCTAATTTGTGGGATCACGGGAGGGAAGATTACCGCAACAGAGAGCAGAAATTCTTAGAAAACTCGACAATTTAAAGAGCTGGGTATGGTATTTGTTTATTCACATTATCAAAAATGTGTAAATGACTGAAACAACAGAAATACTGTACTATAATGTAAAGCCCAAGATTTCGTTGAATACTACTAACGACAAAAATATGTGTTGCATTAAATATACCAACTCTTCCACCTGAACTGCTGACACACGGGTGAAATTACACAACTGTTGAGCATCTTCTATCTATAATTCTTTCACAAGCCTGTTGTTAGCTGCCAGTTCACCTCATTGTTCCACCCAGTGCTTTATCCAACACCTTCTTTTCTGTTTTTGCTTTTTCTTCTCAGCATCAGCATAACTATTACTGCTGTAGCAAATTTTCTGTCACGTCCTCTACCACCCATTGCTACCGACCGATTGAGAGTCACTATATAGTGTAGCTCTATTCAGGTGGACACGCCACTGAGAGTTCTCTCCGACAGCTACTGTCGGGAAGACTCTCGACAGCTGAAACTCGCAGAAGTTTGCTCTCGTGTGGATGCACAGATGAGAGAACTATCAACAGTAACTGTCGAGAGTCCGCTCTCAAGTGGAAACGGGCCTTTAGATTCAGTGCCTGGAGAGTTGTTGCTCACTTAAGATGATATCTTCTGTTTAGGGGGAGGAATGAGCTAAGATGTCTGGAAAGAAAGTCACAATTTGGGTTTGAAAAAGTCGGAGGATATGAACACATCTTTTAAATAGCCTAAATAATGTTAAGGTTTGTGACTTTTTTCCTACATTCTAGGATGAAGACACACCATGGAGAACCAGATCATTGTGTTAACTCAGTAAAGGTTCATCCAAGTATGTGGGTGTACTGTAATCAGGTCCACACTGACACTTGCCTAACCTCCATCTAATGTATGAACATTTACAAGGTGAAAACAGCACTTTGAAGTGTGTGGGTGATGTGTAATGGTATATTAACTGGTGTTTGTTTTAATACATAGAATACAAATCTGTTGAGGAACTGAGCTTCAAATATATACATGGAACAGATCTTTAAACCTACCAAACGTGTCCTAACCTATTGTGAAGACTGTGTATTGTAATATAACCTGTTTTATAGATATTAATAAGGACTGAGTCATATAGGAAATGTAGTCTATATTATTTTTTATAAGTAAGATCTATTTATTTGCTTCATTGTACAGAACTTGATAACAATCTGATGTTGTGACTTCACTCTCCCTTCACTTGCTGAACAGTTCTGTGGGATTCATTGTTCTTTGTGGATAGTAATTTTTTCCTCCCAGAGTACTGAGTAGGTGGGCACTTCCTTGACACTTGGAATGACACAAGGTAGTTCCTGCAAGATGCACATTATAAAATTGTTTCCACATTCTGATGAAAAGGTGAAGCAGCTAAGAGGATACAGGGTTTACCTTCAATCTTAAGGGTTAGTCGTTAGTACCCAGGGGCTGCAAACTGGAAAGCATTTACAGGATTGTAACTGTAACTCTTTGTTTACCCCCATAACTGGACTTACAGTCTCCGACCGGAATACTCAAAACAAATATTCGTCAGTGGACTCCGTAATCGAGGCCGTAACTTACAGGACCGCCTTAGGTGCTGTAACACGGTCAACCCGGATATAGTAAGCCACTATTTCTCGATTGCATAAAAAATTAATAATACTCGTTGGAATAAAGCTCGTTGGCTTGTTTTATCATAGAATAATGAAGAAAATGTTTTGTATATCAACATACAGTAAACCCTCCAGTTTGGCGACTAATTAGTGCCAAAAAAACCTCGCCAAACCAGAAGGCTTAATCCAATGGGAAAAAGCTTAATTGGTACCGAGGGGCCACACCCAAAGTCTCAATTTTGTCCTATTTTACCCACATATAACCTATATTTTATTGTTGAAAGAGAATTAATAATTAGTTAATCAACATAAACATAGAAAACCAAGCTTAAAATTAAAGTTGTGGAGCTTAATGTACACAAAGCTGGTATCCAAGTATTTTTTTTCTTCTTCTTGACTCGATACTCACGTGAAATATTCGTCTTTGTTTTTACCCGATCATTTGAACTGCCCGGGCACTCAGACGGTCTTTCACCACCACCTCCAATACCCCCAGGTACTTTTGAGGCCATTATTCTGCTGGAGAACACCGCACCAAGTGAGAGGGAGTAAAATAAAGGGACACCAAGGCCAAGGTCACTCAAACAAGAGGCGGGAATGTGGATTGACGCGGTCCAAATGGCTGCCTGAACAGCTGACTGGCGCTGGGTAAATACTAGCCAAAAATATTCACCAGTAGTATAAAGTGAGATTTATCTTGCACTTATTATTCTACAATTATTAGTTGTGAATGCATTTAAATTTAAACTCTCGCCAAAGGTGAGGGTTTGGTCGCCATAATGGAGGGCCGGGCACTTTGAATTTGGACCGCCAACTTCTAATTCGCCAAACTGGAGGGTTTACTGTGATGAAATACGATATTACAGTTTGTATTTTTAGTTATTTTTTATGGTAACAAGAGGCTCGGGTGTTTCTATTTGTCGGTGAATGGAAGAGACGCATCTTTTGTCTTCTTACAACTTATCAAGTAATTTCTACCAAAATAGAAGATTTTTATTGTCCACATTTATGGTACAAATATTTTTTATGACTGAGTAAACTTGCAGATAGACCTTATTAATGTGGTATAGCCGTAGATATCTGTCAGTAACGAGAGCCAAATACGAGGTCAAGTGAACATGTTTGCCTAGACTCCGCGTTTATTAGGATAAGTTATAACAAGTTATTCTGCCAAGTATCCAAGAAGGGGTCTGTCCATATCGTCACCAACCCTTTCCGTCACCGCGTTCTTTCCCATCAATATATACACAAAAATAACTGTTCCTTGGGAAAGATAATAGTAAAAAAATACCAAGACAATTTATTAAAGACGAAAATAAAAAATAGAAACATTGTTAATACACCTACAATCATCTCACTGCTCGGTGGTTTATGAAAATATTTACCAATGTTTAATCAAACGCCTAGTTTACAAAATTTGTAGCATGAAATTATGCCTCGGCATAACAATACAGTCATGCGCCGGTTAACGTCCTAGATACATTCTTGGAAACGTGACGTTAACCGAAATGGACGTTGTCCGATCATCACATAAACTTTTTATTTATACTTACGTGTATGTGGAATACTATATACGTACATATACACTTTTACTCTTAAATCACTACTGTAATGTGATACAGGTGATTAATTTTTATCTCTTGTGCAAAATACATGACGTTTATATTAAAATTATTCACTGTTTTACAAGGATTCCAGCAACGCCAGCAGATGGGGGAGAGAGAGGAGGAGCGTGGGGGGAGGGGAGGTAGTACGTTTGACAGTTGGCACAGGCCCAGGTCTAACGCGTGTATATTTATCAGTTCTTAGGTGACTAAGCTTCTCTCTTATAAAAAGCCAGTGAAATGACCTGGGTGAATATAATTAACATAGCTGGGATTCTTGTAACATACTGATTAATTTGAATATAAACATGCTATAATTTGCACTAGACAAAACAATTTTAGAACCATAATCAAATTAGTACATGTGCACTCCAGCTTTGCACTAAGAAATCTATGTAAATCTACCCAAAAATACAGTTGAAAAACTTTTTCATAAAATGTACTATACTGTACACTAATGTACAACAATTTTTATCTCTTGAGCAAAATATATGACGTTTATATTCAAATTATTGGCTGTCTTGCAAGGATTCCAGCAATGCAAATAATAATCTCCTAACTTTAGTCTGAGATATTATATAAGATAAAAACTGTAAGCCTAAAAGCCTGGCTGGGGTGGGGGGGAGACTGACGGCTCCGCCACCCAGCGAGGGGTTGGGGGGGAGTGGGGGGGGGTTGAGGTGATAAGTTTGAGGTGAAGGTCTCTGTGTGTTTATTTAACAGTCCTACTAAGCTTCTCTCATTTTAAAATGCCAGTGATATGACCTGGGAATATATAATTAACATAGCTGGGATTCTTGTAAGATACTGATTTATTTTAATATAAACATGTAATTCGCACTAGACATAACAATTTTAGTACGGTAATCAAATTAGTACATGTGCAGTCCAGCTTTGCACTAATTTATTTTACGTTTATTTTAGTGTGGTGTGTGAATGTAAATGGGTGAAAATACATGAAGAAATTTGTGTAAATTTACCCAAAAATACAGTTGAAAAACTTTTTATAAAATTAACTACAGTACTGTACACTAATGTACTACATTTTTTATATCTTGAGCAAAATATATGACGATTATATTCAAATTAATCTCTGCTTTGCAAGGATTTCAGCAATGCAAATTATATTATCGTAACTTTAGTCTGAGATATTATATAAAATACAGTAAACATAAAGAAATCACCAATCTTTTGTCTGGGAACACAAGGGTGGTGGGAAGAGGTGGGGGGGGAGGTGAGGTGACAGAATGTCTGGCGTTTGTTTGTTTATTTATTTGAGATAAGATTTGACAGTTGGCGCTGAAGGCCTGCCTGCGTGTTTATTTATCATTACTTAAGAGCGACTAAGCTCTTCTCATAATTTTCCACCCAAACGACCTGGGTGAATATAACTTACATTGGAGGGATTCTTGTAAGATAGTAATTTATTTGAATGTTTTTTTTTTTTCAATTTAAATTTTAATTGTTTATTCCTTGACAGAGGAAGCGGGATCCTAGTGCTGTCACTTGGTACCCCTGTACCATAACACCAGAAGCAACTGGCCAGTGTCACAAGTACTGTATATACAGTCATCCCTTGGTTATCGCGCCTAATTGGGACCCCGCCGATAACGAAAGTACAGAACCTATGGGATTTATTCTAATTGGTTCCTGGCACCCAAGACCCAACCCCAAGTTTCCCATTTTACGACCATTTATATCCACTAAATATATATATATAATGTTATGGTAAATATCATAAACACACATAGGCATGGCTAGGTTTATTACAAAGTGATGAAAAGGCTACGCTTAATACTGTAGTCCACAAAACATGTAGCTATGCTTTTTTTTATTTGGTCCCCCGTCATACGAGTCCGTTTTCTCTCACATCTGGACGCCTGAGTCCTCCATTTTCTCTCTTAATCTTAGAGTGCACCAGAAACTTTAATATTTTTAGTAATGCCACAGATTTTGAAATTGCAACCCCAATTGCAACTTGCAATTGTTGAGGCAACTAGATATGTCTGATTACAGCAAATGTGGTATTGTCAATTTGTAGGTGAAAGATTTTATCCTTAACAGATGTAGGTTAACATTTCACCTGTAGGCAAATGCTTAGAAAAGCCTAGGTAAGGAAGCATATTCCTTTAACACATAATATCTGACCAGTATGGGGAGGATCATCGTGTCTCCGTCAGGGGGTCGTGGAGTGGTGGTCCAGCAGGCGTCACGTGTGTTTTTTTTTTGGAGGGGGGGGCACGGACGTATATGCGATCGGACGTTGTTCGGTCGGACGTTAACCAGGCGCATAACTGTACATTGGATCATGCAGACAATTTATAAAAGACTAAAATGAGAAAAAAAAATTTTAATACTTCTTACAATCATCTCACTTAACAATATGTGAAAGACTAAAATTTACTCATACAATCTTAGGAAAAGACAATGAGAAATTTTTTTAGGAAATTAGAAGTGGTGATATTATTTCTTCATACCGTATATCGCGGCCTATAAGGCGTCGGGGTGCATAAGATGGCCCCCCCCAAATTTCCATTTAAATAAGGCCAATTCACTTCAAGTAACGTCATCAAATATTACCTGCTGGTGTAGTGTAAACACTAGTGACGTCACTGAAGCGTCTGCTATTTACTGGTAACTGGAACTAATGTCGGTGTCGAGTAAAATTTTTCCATTTACTTGAAATGGATTTACCGATTTATTTGTTTATTTATTTATTTATAATATACTGTAACATATTAAACACACTGCAAGTATTTTCTTTCATTTATACGGACGATCGGTGGTGGGAGTGTTCCTTCGTCTCGGTGGTGTGACTGTTCCGACTGTTTATACAACAGGT